GACTACACGCCGTTCTACGTGAACGAGCTGATTCACCCTCGCGTCCCGCTGACGCCGCAATCCCATCGCTCAGGGGTTGGTGGGGGAAGAATAGCTTGGCGGCTAGCTTATGTCAGCCCTCTCTCTGTTTGTAAAGAGGCCGATATATTCTTGTCTATCAGACGGAGTGTCTTACGACACGTTCGCGATGCGATGGCGGAGCGACAAGACATACACAAAGAGAATGCAGACGGAAGAAGCAGAAGAAGTGTTAAAAACTCTGAGGTCGGAGACCTGGTTTCATTAAACACTGAAAACCTTCTTACCCATGCAATTTTTGCTTCCATTAAGACGAAACCCCGTCCACGGTTTATCGGACCTTTCAAGTTATGGCCAAGCGGGGCCTTGCGTATACGCTAAACCTTCCGAAACAAATGTGCACCCACCCGGTGTTTTATGTGGGCTTGCTCAAGCCGTACGAAAATCCAGCGCAAGTGAACGCGAAAGCCATGGCATCTGCAAGCGCCGGAGCAGCGCCCCCACGCGCTAGACCACCCAAAAGCTGGACGAGCAACTGGTTTTGAGTACAGAGTGCAACGAGTTCCATCTCCAACGGTGCCAAGTGCTCCCTCTTTGCATTAAGTGATGCATTCGTCTGATAGTCGGCAAGGAGCCGCTCCGACAGAGCACAAAAGTCCTCACCGTGAGGCAGTCATGCACAAAAAGCTTCAATCTCTCTAAGCCTTCCGCTCAGTGGTATGCAACCTCGGCAAGATGTTCGACAGAGTGCTGATGACGACAGACAACGTCCACCAACGCTCAAAGAGCATTGCGAGTCACCGGACGACGACTGACCAAGTCATCATCATCCGCCGCCGACTCTTCTCGATGAGAATGGTGACTTCCACTATCACGTGAAACATCTCGTGGGTCGACGTCGTCGACAGGGGCGAATCCGATGCCTTGTGAGGTGGCGGGGATACTAAAACTCCGAGAACTTGCGAAAGTTTGAGGTGCCACTTCGGTCAGAATGCCCAGACGTCGTGGACGCTTATGATCAAAGAAATCATGACGTTACATAACGTCGTACGCCTCCGAGCTATTCTGCAATATCCAGGGAGGCTGAAGGGCCATGGGCCGAGCTCAAGCTATAGCCCTGAGCTGCAGCAGTTGCAGACTCCCCCGTGTGTGTGACCACAGAGCCCGCGAGAGCGTGATGGATTATTTCACATGTCAATGCGTAGAAAGTCGGCGTTGTCCATAAGTTTCGCAAACTCGAATCGAAGATGGCGTCTAACGCGCACGTCAACTTACTTGTGGTTCCGCTGTAAACTAGACAGCGAGAAAGTTTTTGGTGCTGCTGCACCCATCGCTTAAAGAGCTTTTCATCATCTTCAGCGGTTTCGCAAGAGGCGAGCACACAGAAGTCGTCCGCATCGCGGAAACCTCTTCGAGCGCGAAGTCGAGCGCGAAGTCGAGCGCGGTACCTATTCATTGAGATTTCCTTAAAAGCCAAGAAGCGAGTCCGGAGAGCATTTTGTTGGTCAAGCTCGGCTTGTGAAGTGGCCGTGGGCCCGATCACGTAGTCGCTTGACAATGGAGTGAGCGCGTCTTTGGCTCCAA